TGTGTGTGTGTGTGTGTCTGTATCTGTATCTGTATCTGTCTGTCTATCCATCCATCCATCCATCCATCCATCCATCCATCCATCCATCCATCCACATAAATATATATGTTTTTAAATATGTATGTCTCAGTGGCCACCAGACCTTGCAAATTTTCAGGTCTAAACAGCAAAGCCTTCTGGTGATTTCACAAGATCTTGGCTAACTTTTCTTTTAAAAGTGACTTTTTAGTTACTTTTTAAAAAATATATATTTACTTTAAACTTAATTTTGAGTCCTGGGGATCTGGGAGTCACATTTGCTATGATTTCTTCTGCCTTATGTGATGTTCTTCAGAACTTCTGATGAATCCAGTGGCCCGTGTAAGAAAAAGGTTGGGGAGCACCGTCTTAGTGGGGAGATCTATGTTGATGGCAGAAATAAAACAAAATGAGTAAGGAGGGGCATCTCTTCTGATCCCTTACAGGTACCCAAATGTGAACGTCCACAACTTTACCACAAGCTGGAGGGATGGCCTAGCTTTCAACGCAATTGTCCACAAACACAGGTCAGTTGTAGTAATGCTGTTAGGCTGGTCTTAATTGTCTGGTTTTAAATGCTAATATAAATCCCTGATTTCAAAATGAAGTATTCAAAACCTGGTGTGTGTGCCCTCCATGGCTCTTTCTCTTGAGTGGCCTCTGGACTTCTATGCAGTCTATCTTTGTAACAGCACCTGTGCTGGTACTTACCTTGGTTGGAGAGGAAGATTAGATACATTAGAATATGCCAAACTGCTAACAGTATTTGAAGCCATATTTGAAATCTTCTCATTCGAAGAAGATTCTGTTAGGCATTTTCCATAAACTTCTGATAGAAACTCATTTTAAACAGGAAGGCGAGGAAGAGAAAATGTCTCAGAAATCCTGCAAATGAGCAACACCAGATTTTGCAGCTTTTCCATATTTCTTCTGCAGAATGGGTTTTGTGTTGCTCATTGTCACCCATGTCCGGTTGCTTCTGTTTCCTCCTATTTCCATTGTTTGTCTTGTCCATGATGCATAGTTGCATAATTGGAAGACTAAAATGCCTCTGGTGTTTTGTTTTGTTTTTTGCACTAAATAAATGCTAATTTAAGTAGCAGAAAATATGGTGTACTTCTTACTTATCCCTAGCTTTGTTCTGGTTTTCTAATGCAGGGTATTTTAGTTATCAAATGACAGATTTAAAACAAAAAACAAAATTATCCCATGGGACCCATGAAGTTGTGAAAGCTGGTGGCATCCAGCAACTTCTGAAGCAGCTATGTTCAGAGGCAGCTGTGAGAGCAGGAATTTGGGCAGGCTCTGCTTGGACGTTTTTGGATTTGTGGTTCTGATCTAGAAAGTCATTCCTTCCACTTTTGTGTGTGTGTGTTCTCATCCTGGTGTCTTCAACAGGCCAGATCTGATAGACATTGATACCTTGAAGAAATGTAACGCACATTACAATCTCCAGAATGCCTTCAATGTGGCTGAAAAGGAGCTGGGCCTTACCAAACTCTTGGATCCTGAAGGTGGGTCCAGTGAGGAACAAGCTAGATTCCTTTTCTCTGTGTCTTTTCTTTGGGTTGGGTCTCTGCTGCCTCTGGGTGGTGGTTGAGCCCTATTCTAGAGCAAATAGCTCTAGCATTAAGATGCAGCTAGTTGTTCTGATACAGGCAGCACAGGAAGAAAGCAAGTAAACTTGAATATATGTGCACAGAGAAAGGAGGATCAGGACAGTTGTTTCCCTCCATATCTATTTGGTCTTTGAGATCCATCTGCCCATCCTGGGACAATAGGACTTCTGGTCAGAGATCTTTGAAAAGCCACAAACACCATGTCTACTTTGTAGGTTCTAGTGTGTTTAGGTTGGCCTGTTGGCAATGGTGGTGTCAGTGGAGAATATTAGGCCAACTTTGCAAGCTAAATAGGGAACTTGCACTACATGGATTAGCTGACTTTGCAGTGGAGGCAGATCTAGGTGGGAGGAAGAGCCCCAAGTACAATGTGATATTGCTCAGTATCACAGTTTGAAAGATGCTTCTCTTCCCTCACATCTCCTTCCGGAGGGTTGAGCCAACAACGTGTTTTCTAGCAGAAGCATTAACTTAGTGGCATTAGAATGACATTTTAAGAGAAAAGCTAGAGCCCACGTTTGAACACTTGCTTTACTTGAAGAATGTCACTCATGTGGTGCCCATTGTCTCCAGGTCAGATTGGGAGAGAATGCTTTTTCAAATCCTGGAGAGTGGGCTGCACTCAGGGTAAACAGGGCTGAGCTAAACCAGCCAGGATATGTGGGAAACTGTTACCTGTAGAGTCAGATATTTGGTTCGCCTGGTTAGTATTTTTTACACTGACTGGACACCCCTCTATAAGGATTCAGGCAGAAAGCTTTGCTCTCAGCTGCATTTGGAAACTGAACTTAGGGTTTTCTGTGAGCAGAACATTGACTAAAGCTCCTCTCTGAACCATTAGAAGCTGGTCACGCTCTTTTTCCATCTAGCTGTCCAGGGGTAGAGAGGGGAGGCCCAGCCGTACCTGGAGAGGCCAGGAATTGGACTCTGACTGTATGCCTGGAAGTTCAGGGTTCCTATGTTCAACTCTGGACATCCCATCTCAAAAAGCATTTCACAGAGCTGGAAAAAGCACATGAAGGAGCAATGAAAATAATTGTGGCTGGAGCACCACAGGCTGGTCCTGCCCAATCTGGCAAAGATGGGGATGGAAACTTGAGAGCCAGTTTGGTCTAGTGGTGAAGGCACCAGGCTAGAAAACAGGAGATGGTGAGTTCTAGTCCCGCCTTAGGCATGAAAGCCAGCTGGGTGACTTTGGGCCAGTCCCTCTCTCTCAGCTCTGTCCACCTCACAGGGTTGTTGTTGTGGGGAAAATAGGAGGAGGAAAGAGTATTAAAGATATGTTTGCTGCCTTGAGTTATTTATAAAAATAATAAAGGCTGGATAAAAAAAAATAAAAAAATTGGACCTTCTGCTATTGAGCAGGTGCCAGAGCTGCTGGGCTGCTGCTACAGGTTTAGAAAAGTGTAGGAAATTCGAAAGTGCAATTTGCAAGCTTTTTCATGCAAATAAATAGAAGGACCATCATAGTCCTGTGAGAAAGGTTCAGCAGTTAGGAGGCATGTCCTTAAAGCTGCCTCTGCCTTTCATCCAACCCAGAGCATGGTGCTTGGGTGGAAATTGAAGGAAAGAAGTATTAATCTCTATTTCTCTCTTGCTACCTCTTTTCTTCTTGGCTTCCCCCTAGACGTGAATGTGGACCAACCTGATGAGAAGTCCATCATCACTTATGTAGCCACCTACTACCACTATTTCTCTAAGATGAAGGCCTTGGCTGTGGAAGGGAAACGGATTGGAAAGGTACCACAAGGAGGGCTGAGAAATTGAATATATGTGCACCATACTGAGGGGTGGGGAACAGGAAGTCCAGTGCAAATGAGAGAGAGCTGCAAGACAGACCATTTTTCCTATTGGTGGGTGAAGCAGCCAATGTGGATCTTAAAAGACTAGGTATACATTTTCTAAAGAAAGTGAAGAACGTCTTCCCAAAGCAACTGGATAACTCAGGTTTTTGGGTCAGGTACTGGACCATGCCATTGAAGCTGACAAGCTCATAGAGAAGTATGAGACACTTGCCTCCGATCTTCTGCAGTGGATTGAGCAGACCATCTTGACCTTGAATGATCGGAAGCTGGCTAACTGCCTGAGTGGAGTGCAGAACCAGCTGCAGGCTTTTAATACCTATCGCACTGTGGAGAAGCCACCCAAGTAAGTTTCGACAGGTTTGCTGGATGTGCAAACCTGTGCTCTTGCTCCTGTAGGGCTGGCCAGAAATATGGTGATTTTCCTAAAATCCATATGGGCTCTTGCCATGAGAAAGAAAGGCCCTGTGGTAAGCAGCTGCCTGCATTTAAAAATCTGTATTTTTGTGCCTTAGCCTAACTTTTTAGTTAACAATTATAGTGGGCTGTCCTCTTTCCCCCATTCCTTTCACACTTAGGTTTACTGAGAAGGGGAACCTTGAAGTTCTGCTCTTCACCATCCAGAGTAAAATGAGAGCCAATAATCAGAAAGTTTACACACCACGAGAGGGAAGGCTTATTTCTGACATCAACAAGGTGAGATGGTCCATTTGGAAAGGAGCATATGCTGTGAACTGCCTTGAAGTATGGGAGTGCTGTATTTCTCATTCAACCAATCAGACTCTGGCTGCATTTGCACTTTGTGCTATAAACCATGATGTGGTTTGTTTGGTTAGATTAGTGAATCCAGCCATGGAAGGTTGCTTAACATCCTTTATGACCTAATAAGAACTGTGAGCCTCTTTTATTTATCCATCTATTACCTGTTCTGGACAGAAAAACGTTGGGCCAGTCTGCAGAGAATAAATCACAATATATTTTGATGGATTTATTTGCATATTTTTGGAAACTACCACCTTGATTTTCATTTTAAAGAGGATAGTAACGCATTAAGCAGATAAACAAAGCAAATATTAATAATAGGGGAATGTTCCAAAAAAACCCTAAAATAATCAGGGTCAAGTGGAGCCAGTGTTTCTAGATTCCAGAGGAAGTTATCAGCTAATCATGATTAATGATTAATAGACTAATCCACTCATTTTGCAATCTGGGCTATAGTTAAGGCCAAGACTTATTTGGGGCAGAAGGCTGTAATTTTAACCTGTTTTTGAAAACGCATATGTCAAATGTTCCTTCTCCCTGAAATGCTATTGTGATACGTTCATGATGACCTGGAGCTTTGAAACCTGCTTGATCTCTTCTCCTCAGCCCCTGCAACAGCTCTGTTCTTGATTCCAATATTTTTTCCTCCACCAAACTCTCTGCAGGGTTGGGAGCGTCTGGAAAAGGCGGAGCATGAACGTGAACTGGCTCTACGCAATGAATTGATTCGACAAGAGAAGCTGGAGCAGCTGACAGCTCGCTTTGACCGCAAAGCAGCCATGCGTGAAACCTGGCTGAGTGAAAACCAGCGCCTTGTCTCTCAGGTCAGTCCTGAATGAAGAGGGCTGTATGTGCCCTATTGCAGATAGGAACATTACCTGGAGGTGAACTGAGATTTCACAGACTCTGAATTCTGCTTCGCATCAGGGTGAATTCATTTCAAATGGATAGAATTCACCTGTCCTTGGTGCCAACTCTTACCATTGGGCAGAGTGAGACAGCTGTGAGCATCTTAATGTCAAGGCTTCATTTCTAGTGCTGGGGCAGAGATTGCAGTGACTGCCGCACCTTGTTTTATACAAGAACGCTCAGAAGTTAAACAGTTACAGCTTCCTCACAAGATGTTGGCCATTCCTTTAAATTAAAAATGTTGATTTTTCTTCAGTTTGAGAAGTCCCCAGAAGCTGTTCACAAAGATCACCAATGCCCTGGTGTCCAGAAATGCTTGGCTGCTGACACCCTGCTCTTACTCTGTGGCCGGTCCTGAAGTGAAATTACATTGCGTATCTCACCTGCTTCTGTGTATAGAACAGAGAAGGTTGCCATCATGTTCTTTGCCCCAGGCAGCAAAATCCCTTGGTTGAGCCTTGGGATTCTGTGTCATTTGGTGGCCAGAAACACAAAGCAGCTCCACAAAGCACATCAGCCTTGTTTGTAGGCATGGAGTGTTGTTTTAATTTAGCAATCTCATAGAAGCACACCAAACAGTTTTGCCACTTCTCAGCTGTCGTTCATCCCTCACATAGGATCCTGTCTTGCTTCAGTCTGATGTGGGACAGATAGAAAATACCTTCCCTGAAAAGTACCCCATTTTTCTCTCCTCCCCCAATCTGCAGGATAACTTTGGCTCAGATATTTCAGCAGTGGAAGCAGCGGTACGCAAACATGAAGCCATTGAGACAGATATTGTGGCCTACAATGAGCGTGTGACAGCTGTGAATGCTGTGGCAGATGAGTTGGAGGCAGAGGGCTACCATGACATCAAGCGGGTGCTGGCGCGCAAGAACAATGTGGTGCGACTCTGGGATTACCTCCGTGAGCTGGTAGCTGCACGTCGTGAACGCCTTTTGCTCCATTTTGAACTACAGAAGATGTTTCAGGACTTGACCTACCTCATGGATTGGTTGGAAGAAATGAAGGTAAGTAGGCCAGAGGATCGTGCGACTGAAGGATGGAAGAGAAGAAGGTCTAAGAATGGCGCTTGAGGAACAGTATTGGTCATTTTGACTTTGGATACAGAAACCACTGAAACAAACAGGAATATGTTTGTTCCAATTCAATCCAGTTCAGGGGTTCACCAATATATGGCTGAAATTTTATGAGATTGCCAAACCTCAGCCTCTCCCAAGATCTTGCATTCTCTTTGTGTGAGAATAGCAGCCTCTTGAAATTTTTGCATTCTCATCTGAAATTGCAGAAGAACACCATACAAGAAGGGCAAACCCTTTGAAAATTGAGATTTTTAAATTTAAAAAAATTAAGTTTTTAATTTAAAAATAGTAATTTGGAAATTAGACAGATGTATTGGAGATTGATGGAGAAATTGATACACTGATAAGGAGATAATATATGCAAAGGCACTCTTAGCTAGGGAGGTCCTTTTTAAAGGTGACTTTCCTTGGAACTGCCTTTCCTGCTGCACTTCCTCAAGCTTAAGTGGGAAAGCCAAATATACAAGAGATACCGAAGTGTTCTGCGTATACAGTGAAAATGTGTATATAGATGCATAATATGTATAAGGAGATGTTCTCTCACCCCCCTAAGCGTTTTCTTGCAGGGTCGCCTCCAGTCTCAGGACTTTGGGAAACACTTGCACGGTGTTGAGGACCTACTTCAGATCCACGCTCTGGTGGAAGCTGACATTGCTGTCCAGGCCGAACGGGTAAAAGCCATCAGTGCTGCTGCTCAGTGTTTTGCCACTCCTGGAGAAGGTGCGAACTCTTAATCAAAAACCATTGAAATGAAAGGGGATAGTGCAAAAAAAGCTTTGCAGTTTACATCCAACAAATACATTAGGACTTCAGCTCTTAGTATTTCTTACCGTCAAGGCTGTTGTCCATGGGAATGAGTTGTAATCCCATTCAATCTGGAGGGTACCTGGTTTGAGAAGGCTGGCTTCTCATTTCTCTGTAGCTCTGGATTCAGGCTCCTAGGCTGAGCTCCCAGAACCTCTTAACTTGGTTAATGAGGTAACCCATTTGAGGGTTGCGCAGACTAAAATTAAGCTTAGCATGTTGTGTGAATGCAGCAACTTAGACTTATTGTCTGGTTTAGAGTGTTATGCCAACCCAGCCCTAAGTTCAGTTTTCTGTGCCTGCAGGATACAAACCCTGCGATCCCCACCTTGTCCAAGAGCGTGTGGCAATGCTGGAGCGCTGCTATCAGGAATTGGTGGCATTGGCTGCACAACGACGCGCCAAGCTGGAGGAGTCACGCCGCCTCTGGAAGTTCTTCTGGGACATGGGTGAGGAGGAGGCCTGGATCCGAGAACAGAGCCAGATTCTCTCCTCAGATGACTTTGGCAAGGACTTGACAAGTGCGCTGCGCCTGACCAGCAAGCACAATGCTTTCCGTGATGAGATGACTGGCCGGGCCTGCCCATTGCAACAGAGCATTGCTGAGGGCCGCCAGCTGGTGGCTGAGGGTCACTTTGGAGCTACCGAGGTGGCCGAGCGGATCCAGGACATTGAGGAGCAGTGGGAACAACTGGAGGCATTGTCAAGTGAGCGAGAACGGCGTCTTCTCCAAGCCTCCAACCTTTATCAGTTCCAGGCTGATGCCAATGACATGGAGGCCTGGTTGCTAGATACTCTCCGCTTGGTGTCCAGCTCTGATATGGGCCACGATGAATACTCGACCCAGAGCCTGGTGAAGAAGCACAAGGATGTGGAGGAAGAGATCCACAACCACCGGCCTGCCCTGGATGCCCTGCACGAGCAGGCCCGGAGCTTGCCCCCCAACTTTGCCCATTCTCCCGAAGTGGACGGGCGCTTGCCTGCACTGGAGCAACGCTATGAGGAACTGGTTGATTTGGCTGAGCGTCGCAAGCAGGCCCTGCAGGATGCTCTTAATCTTTACAAGATGTTCAGTGAGGCAGATGCTTGCAGCCTTTGGATCAGTGAGAGGGAGTACTGGATTGAAACAATGGATGTGCCGGAGAAGCTGGAAGACCTTGAAGTGGTACAGCAAAGGTGAGTGGGCCCCCTGAGCTGCACTTGGCCCTCCAAGCCAAGAGGTAGTGCAGTGGTAGCCATCCTTCTGCTGGCCATTTAACATCTGGGGAGAGTAGTGGGCTACAAGTGGGTACACATAAGCAAGAGTGAATTTTTGGAGGAAATTGGGGGAGGACATTGCTTTTTTTTTTTAACCATGATATGCCTACTTTAGGGTTAATTCTATAGTTCTCATCTGTTCCTCACCTAACAAAGGCAGGAAGCTGTGCTATCTGTTTTCAGTCATCATAGCTAGAAGGATCTCTTAAGGATTGTAAAAAAAGAGACAGAGGTTTCCATGCAGATCTGGGATCACAAGTTGCCTTCTTCAGTGGAGAGACAAGGCTCCTCATTAAACATTTTCTTTGGGACACTGAATCCTTAAGAAAGAGTGATGCTTAATTTCAAAGATGGAGGCCAGCAATCTTTTTAAATCCCAAGGCCACGTGTTCTTCTTCTTCAGCATCATCACCACCAATGTCATCATATGAGAAACCAAATGGACAATGTGATGATGACACTATGTTATTAAATTAAATGTAGATTTTCCGTTTTAATGAGACCAAACCTGTTTGCATCACTGTTTCTAATTTAATATTGGTCAGTCCAATGCTGGCAAAAGTCTAATTAAAAGCAAGGCTGCTGCCAGTTTTGAGGGGGATCTGCTCCTTAGCGTTACCTTGCTGCTTCCCCCCATATAGTGACCAAGTTTGGGCAGCCATTCCTTTTTAATTTTCCTTCCTGTCCCCATCTACTTTTTCCTTCAGAGTAGAATAGAAAACCTGCAATGCCCAGAAGTAGAATGCTGATTCAGACTTCAGCCCTCCACCATGTACTTTTTCCCAGAATGCTGTTAGGCTGGTTCAGAAGCATTCTGGGGAAATGAAAATTGGTGGATAGATTACCACCTTGCTTGGCTTCTGAATAACGCAGGCCCAGCTAAAAAAGAATCAATAAATAAAGTGGACAAATTGAAAACAAAGTGCGAACAAGATCCTAATCATCTTTGGGAGTTCAGGAACCAAGTGTCCCTACAAGCTGCTCAACATGCCAGGGATTGGCGCCAAACCCTTAGGGAAGTATTAATTCACAGATTTTATATTCTGCTCCATCTTAGCCCTGCAGCAGAGAAAGCAAGCGTCCTGCTGCTGGCTCTTTACACTTCCTACTTTCTCACTACCATTTTAAAATTTAAAAAACCAAAATTAAGTTCGTCGTTGGGCAGCAAGGCATAATTAACCAGCTGTCGTTTCAACCAACAGAAAGTACTTTATTCCTGCTGTTAGGTAGAGCTAGAAGCCTGCTGACTCCTTCTCACTATTCTCGCCTCCTTTGATTCTTGGTGACTCAGGTTTGAGACACTGGAGCCAGAAATGAATAACCTGGCCTCTCGCATCGCAGCAGTGAGTGAGATTGCAAACCAGCTCTTGGGCACTGATCACAGGAACAAGGAAAGCATTCAAGCCACCCAGGAACAGCTCAATAGTAGGTAAGTGCCCAGAGATGCGGGAGAAGGGATGGAGGCAGGACAGGGAGGGGATCTATCAGCTTGTGCAGTTGAATGGGCAGAATCATCTACTGCAGACTTCAAAGGAAGCAAAAGCTTCTAACGCAGCGCTCCATGCCCCACCTGCCTTAAACAATGTCAAGGGTTTTAATTAAAATAAATGAATGGGAAGCTGGCATATTGTAAAGCAGAGCAGCAGCTTTCAGCTACTGCTGTATTTCCAAAAAAAGCCGATTTGCTGTTTGTGGATCCCTGAGGCATTCTCAGAAAAGAGAAGTGGGGAGTGGAGGCTGTAGCTGCCTGTTCTTCTGCCCAGGAAAAAAAAAAAAATTATGATGGGACTGTAAAAAAACATCCTGAAGAGTAAAAGATGTGATGGGGGCATTTTCACCTGCCTGCTTGCCAGACAATCAATATTTTCATATCTCATATCTGGGCATGTCCGTCATGGCTGCCATTTTTTGAGAGGGCCCACAGCCTGTTTTTAAAGTTCCAAATTAGCCTCAAAAGATCACCTGACATACTTACATAGCAAATGGAAGGAGAGACATGGTGGTATCTCCTTTGGACTCACCTCCCTCCCTACTCCCAGGTGGCAGCAGTTCCAGGCCTTGGCTAGCCAAAAGAAGGAGGCATTAACCTCAGCACTCAGCATCCAGAACTACTACTTGGAGTGCAATGAAACCAAGGCATGGATGCGGGAGAAAACCAAAGTGATAGAATCTACGCAGGGTTTGGGCAATGACCTGGCAGGTGTGATGGCTCTGCAACGCAAGCTGGCTGGCATGGAGCGGGATCTGGAGGCCATCCAGGGCAAAGTGAGGGACCTGCATGAGGAGGCAGCCCGGCTGGCAGCCCAGCACCCAGAACAAGCAGCTGCCATCTCCAACCGGCTCTCCGAAATTGATGGGACCTGGGACGAGCTGCGGGGAACCATGCGGCGCCGCGAGGATTCTCTGGGAGAAGCCAGCAAACTTCAGGGTTTCCTGCGTGACCTGGATGACTTCCAGGCGTGGCTCTTGCGCACCCAGACTGCCATTGCCTCAGAAGATGTCCCGGCTACCCTGCCAGAGGCAGAGCGGCTGCTGAGCCAACACGAGACCATCCGAAATGAGGTGGAACATTACAAGGGCGACTACCAGCGGTTGCGGACCATGGGAGAAGAAGTGACGCAGGGCCACACAGATGCCCAACATATGTTCCTTCAGCAGCGCCTTCAGGCCCTTGACACTGGCTGGAATGAACTCGGGCAAATGTGGGAGAACCGGCACCAGTTGCTTTCACAGGCTTACGGCTTCCAGATCTTCCTGAGGGACACCAAGCAAGTTGAAGGGGTGCTCAGCAACCAGGTAAAGCAGAGAGAGGTTGGGGGGAGGGCGGGCGGGCTTGCAGTCAGAGGCTGAACTTTGGTTTAGCTACTTCACAGTACAATTGCTTAC